AATCCTGGGGATGTAAATTCGTGGTTAGGGTGACCCTCGAAATCCACGAACACAGGAATGATAATTCCACTGTATCCAAATTACAATATACGAAATTACTTCAGAAACTGCAGGTACAAGACTTTATTTTGATTTAATTCATTTGGAATGCTGAGACTCTAATACTTTGATTCCTTTCGAATAATTTCACACAAGCATTGTAAGAGACCTTTTAATGCCTTACCAGATTTTCAACAGATATTTTTTTAAAATCAGATATATAAAAACTAAATAAATTTGGAATGATCAGGGTACATTTATAGCAGACCAGCTGTTAATTTTATTTCTTAAAGTTTATCTAGAACATTCATAACTTTTGTAAATTACATGGTACTTGACACCTGTGTTCGGAATGGATAATTGCGTAACGGACAGGTGGGGAATAGGAGGTTCGGTTCACCGATCGACCTCTCTTTGTTATCATCATATTGCTGGAGGGGGTATAACGTTTTTATTCGAATGAATGTTGCGACATTTCACCAGTCGATTTTAAGTGTATGATTCTGGGGAATTTAAAAAGTTTTTAAAGAAAATTTCTGTTTTAACAGACTGTTAATCTAATAAAAATTAAACTGATTTAAAATGTGTCAATTTCAAAACTTTCAATTTGTCATATTTTCAGGTAGGACATATAAGAAGCTGTAAGTCTTGGAAAAATATGGGTAAAACCCCATAACGTTTTCATTGTACATACATGTACAATGTACATGTAATTTTAAAAGGAGTATGATTTTTTTTTATTTGCTTGCATTTATTTAGAAATGAAATATGAAGAAGTTCCGTAAAACAATACAAACCGGAAGCAGGGCATTAACGGACCTCTAAAACATCATAGATGGGATCAGATACTATCATAACAAAAATTGCAGTGAATATAAAAAAAAGAAGGAGATTTTATGAGTTTGCACTTGTAGTTTGACAAAGATTACGAACACAAGCTCTATATAAATATAAAAGTAAGTAAAGATGCTGACCAAAAGGGATTAAACTTTTAACCCGGATGGTTTCAAGAAATAAATCATTGGAATGCAACTGTTACCTACTTGTGAAAAGATGCATTTAGGTAGAAGTAATTCAAGACGCTGACCACTGTAAGTTAAACTTTTCACCCGGATAATTCCAAGTAATAAATCATTGGGAATGTAGTTTTTTATTTGTTTATGAAAAGATAAATTTGGTTGCGTCTGTCTCTGCTTCATTTTATACAGGTAAGATTATTTGGTAGACTTGCGCGTTTTTGTAAAATCTTGAAGTTTTCAGATGGTTTAATTTATTTACACGTTTAAATAGTTTATATTGCAACACAGTAATCTTTATTATAAGGTTTAGTATTGAGTGTAAAATCATTTATTGTAATCATAAAATAAACGGATTGTTTTATTTAATACGAGGGGCATTTCAAAAGTTCTGGCAACTGTTAAATAAAAGATTAACCGTTTTACGGAAATTATTGAGTTTGACATCATTAGAAAGATCAGAAAAATATACACATATTGTGACGTCACTTTATAATTTTTGTGACGTAATAACTCCAAAAATGACGTCAGAATGTAGAATGTTTAGCATACTGAAAAGTCATGTTCTATCCACATGAGACGATCGTAAAAGTTCTGTCAAAGGCTTATTTGAAGAATTATTTCAAAGAAAATTTTAATTTGCAAAGAGGTAAAGTAGGACTATGATACTGTTTAACAGCAATTCCATTATTCATAGTATGGTTTGTTTACGAGCACGGTTTATGTCCGGTTATGCTATCACCGACATTCATTTCAGATTTTTATTTACATGATACGGCTGGATTTTCGGTCTTTTATATAGCTTTCTATTGTTTGAAATAAAACATGTTCTGTATTAAACTGTAGTATATTAATGCAGTTTTCATCAAATATATTTTGAGTTACAGGACTCCTACCGTTTACGAATAAAATGTACTAAATCTTGAACCCGACTTGATTCTGTGCGTATTTTTTCATATAAATTCAACTTTGGCGCCCCAAAACTCACCACTGCTTTTGACTTTTGAATCCAAAAAATGAATATAAGTTACTCAGACATGTAAAATCTTATTTATTTTCCATGCATTAAAATTTGGGAATATGTGGAGGTACGGTGGGGTTACAACTGCACTGCCGCCATTTTGGATTTTACGAGAAAATATGGGGCACACTAAACTTAACTTCTCTTTAGCATTCATCGATTCCACAAATATGGTTAAAACACCTGACGAATTTATGCCATCGAAATTTGTAACATGATCGATTATTTTCCTTTGATTGTCAACTTTGTCTTTTCCTCACATTTAGGTCTCTTTCACGCAAAAGCTTGAGCGAGATTCGATAAATCCATGCTAATTTTGACACTCGCTAAAACCAATTCAGAACAAGAAGATCTCCAAAATAAAATGCCATATGATAGATTGTAGTCTGTATAAACATTCCACCAACTGGCATTTGCGTCCGTTAACTTGCGTCCGAGTAATGAGGAAAAGTTGTCTAGAAAATTTTGATTTGATCAAATTGAATCTTTTCTAACGTCATTTTTATGGTCAGTATGCTAAACATTCTATATTCTATATATATATACTTAATAGAAGAATTGCTCTTCACCACATGTTGTATTCTGTCTATTACTTTAATATTATGTTTATATGTAATTATATATGTTATATGTTTATGCCTAATGGGCCCTGATTGGTAATAAATTCTATTCTATTCTATTCTATTCTATTCTATATTCTGACGTCATTTTCGGAGTTATTACGTCACAAAAATTATAAAGTGACGTCACAATATTTGCATATTTTTCTGATCTTTCCAATGATGTCAAACTCGATAATTTCCGTAAAACGGTCAATCTTTTATTAAACAGTTGCCAGAACTTTTGAAATTCCCCTCGTAAAAGACAAGAGCTAGATTGTCTCTGCTTCATTTATACAGGTTGGGAACTAGAGCCTGTGAGCCGCTCTGGTCAGGAAAGGTCCTCAGGGTAAAAGGAATGGGATATTGAATCATCAAGGAAGGGTATCAGGCGCGGATCCAGAAATTTTTTCCAGGGGGGGGGGTCCACCCCAGTCAAAAAAAAATCCAATCCCAGAAATTTGTTGACAAGCAAAAATAAAAAAAAAAAATAAAATAAAAAAAAACCTAAACTCACCAAACGGCAAAAACCTATTTCGGGGGGGGGGGGGGGGGGGTAGTGGTGACTTCTTTTGCCTCAAATCTTTCACTTTTCATACCCATTTCACATATATTCTCGTTTACCAGGGGGGGGGTCCATGGTAACTTTTTTCTTGTTTTAGTATATACATTTTTTAACGTGGTAAATTCCAAGGGGGGGTCCTGACCCCCCCCCCCCCCTCTAGATCTGCGCATGCGGTATAATAAAATTGAAAAGCTGAATTGAGTTGTTCCGACCAAGCTCAAAGATTATAAGAGTTACAAATGTATTCCACTTGGCGTGTCCTCTCACTGAAATAGTCAAGATCCCGGGTGTAAATGAACAAACTCATAATCAGCCCAATATCATTCGGGACTCTGCCTCCTCAAACTCTGTTGGTTGAGGTTTAACAATAGGCATCATAGGCTGGAGTCAAGAATGAGATCATACTGGTTATGATAATTGGTGGAGAATCCGGGCATCGATCCCTGTACCTCTTAGTACCATGGAGGAGTAAGCATTCCCTGTCAACCGGTCACACCCAGCGCTTGCTCCATCTTGTGATGTTACAAACGGGAAAATGCTACAAACATTTCGTATGAAAAGCGTCACCCAGCATTTGCCTTCGTACATGTAAGCTAACGATAGATTGAATTTGCTGACAATGTCATTCTTCTCTATTTAAGTAAATACCTGCGGATTAAACCAGAACTACATCAAAAAGTTTCTTTTCAAATGTCTTATCAAATGATCAGAAACTTCGATAAATATGACTAGAGGTATGCGTACTGTTTAGTATGTTTGTCTGTTCTTCGGGAACATATTTTAGAGATAGTTCCTTATAAATTCCATTGTAAAATTGATCACTATGTGGTGCCGTCCACGGGCACTGGAAGTTAATCTAAATATATATGGTATGTGTATGTGGTCCAGTCCTATCCTTCAGGATTAAATCGCATTAAAATTTAATCTACACTATCTAGACAGCTATGTATCCGAGGATGTTTAAATTCAAATGAGAGTTATTGTGACTTTGCTGTGTTCCCGAGGAGAAGATTTGATTTTTTAAAATATTTCTTAACTTCTGTGGTTCCTCGGGGTCATGATGAACAGACTTGAATCTACATTTTCTATTGAAACTTTCATATACTCAGTAAGCTTGGTTTTTTTTCCTTCCCTTAATTTGGTTAAATTTATTATGTCAAGATTTTCTAAAAGTTGTCATTAAATCACTTATTCTGAATTATCTTCATCTATAAAGAGTTAGAGAGGGCATATGGCCTTTCATGCAGTTTCAAGAACGCTTGAATCCCTGAGCTTTAAGTTCACATGCTGTGATGCTTCGTGATTGATTGTATTTTGTTTAACGCCCCTTTCGAGAATTTTTCAATCTTATGGAGACTCCACAACTTTTCGGTGGAGAGCTACAAATTTTTGTCCTATATTCTGCACTGAGGGCCATTGAGCATGCAGTGAGGGGTCTTTTTCATGCCAACACCAACGTGACAAGGGGACCTCGGTTTATACGGTCTCATCCGAAGGACCGGTCTCCACGTCCTAAAGTGGGATTCGAACCCGCGACGTAAGGATCGACTCCTTACTTTGCGACTATAGAGCAGACGCTCTTATTACTGCGCCAGGAGGGCTGTTCGATAAGTAAAGCTCATGGTTTCTAAAACGGAATTCGATCAGTTTTTGCCACTTTGGGTGATATTTTTTAATTTGTTCTCACCGTCGTAAACAGTATTTTTGGATCAACACTGGTTAAACATGTTAAAACTGCGCCGTTTAAGACTTAATTTCTCGGTGTTGGCACTAAATATTTTAAATGCCCGCACTGGGTCACCGTATTAACACTTGGGTACCGGTGTATTGATCATTTCGGTTGGCACGACTTGACCCTCGGCAAAGGTATATAGACCACAGTCGAGTAAACTAAAGGTTTGTGATTGTTTGTTATGCACGTACTTGTTTATTATCTTCTTTATTATGTATGTCTGAAATATAATTGAGAATATGATGATCTAATGTATTGTACGTGTGCAAGCTTGTTAGATAAATATGGACCGACTTTGCATGAATGCTTTGTGCTCTTAGTTATTAGGTTATAGATCAAAACAAATCAATGCAGTAATTTTATACACAAATCAATATACTAAACTAACCATAGGAGGAGAATGGAAAGGGAACTATATACATGTTGGAAATATTGTTATATTTCAGTAACCATGGTGATATTTTAACAAATACGCTTTTATGCTTGTAGCAGTGTAGCCCTCTAGTCCCATGTTCACAAACTACAGGTGATCTGGAATCGGTTTGTGGGACATAATGACTGTGATTCGACAATGGGTACAAAGAGTCGTAAACTATTCCTCACAATATGACAGTGCAGGGTAAGACTCTCTCTCTCTCATTCTCTCTCTCTCTCCATAGTACATCATACCATATACAATTTGTGATGAATTTTGTTCATAGTTTATATTAAAGTGAGCTGAGAAAAAATATTTAGATATGTTTAATCCATAGATGTCAGAACCAGGAGGGCTAAGAGGGGGGTGAGCCTTCCGTATGTTTTATAGACAAAATATACCCACTGAAAATTGGGGTTCTAGACACTGCTCTCCTTTTAATTTGCTTCCATTGCCTATGTATATTCATGTTTTTCTAAATGAAATTTCTTGCCGTAATCTGTCATACACTAAGTTACTGACTAAGGCCACCCTGTGTCAAACCTCAAAATGTCTCAGAATGAGGCTATACAAAGTCTCCATTTAAATGTTTGGAACTCATTTATCAATTTTTTATTGGACTTTTTGAGTCTGAAATTTGTTAATCACAAATTAATACATTTATATAAATATTTTTAGCTACTATTTGTATGGTAATATTAAAGTATAAATGCTTATTTTGCACTTTTTCTTTAGTTGGTCAGCTGAGCAGGTTATAGGTGCACCTAAAGTCTACCCCAGGCATGGGGACATCCGAGGGGCATGGGCTTCTCAGACCAAAACTAACAAAGAATTCATAGAGGTACGTATTACCAACATCGATACTGGAAGTCTCTGGCACACAATTTCATGGTGCAATCCTGACCAAATTCTCATTAGTAACTGATGTACCTCATTTCTGTCCAGGTTGCATATGGCAGGAAAGTGTTTCCTCAAGAAATCAATATATATGAGACATTGAATTCTGGTGGGACAAAGAAAGTGCAAGCTAAAACAGATAGTGGAACCTGGGTTACAATGTACGAAGCCAAGAAAATAGAATGTATAAAAGAAAGTCGAATATTCAAACCCGAATTGATTGTAAGTGTGGATTATTTTTTTTTTTTTCCTTAGATCAATTAAGCAAATGATAAAGGAGGAATTTTTAATGAGCAGTTAATTTTTGTGCATATATAATAATAGTGGAGAGAGAGAGAGAATATGAAATGCATTTTATTAAGTTCACTGCATGCTTGTAGGAAACGAATATTCCCACTGATACTCTGAGAATAGAGATTGATTGTACAGTTGCTGGAACATGGGTAGAAATTGATGCTGTTGAATTAGTTGGAACGGAGGCAAATCCAGGTACGTAGAAAAATTTCTATGTAAAATTTTTTTACATTGCATTTTAAAATAACAGATTAAGTAGGTACTGAAAAATGGTTTCAAATAACACACTATACATTTCTTCATTAGCTTACCTGAGCTTTTCTGTTTTCTTTGGCATTGTTCTTGTGTGTCAACTCAAAAACATTTACATTTTTCTTTTTTTCTCAAGAATATATGGGTCAATTTTTACCAAACTTAGAGTATTCTTGGATACCGGGGGGTAAATGAAATTCAAGTTTCCATGAAAATCTAAATTTTTTAGGAAGATGAGATGATCAAGAGAAAATGAAAATTCATTAGAGTCATTTAAAATTTTCCTGTAATGAACCACTTAGCTAGATTTTGTTTTTGTAAAGAACTGTTGATGTAGTGTAGATTCATGTTTTTCAAATCGTGACTACCATCGTAGGTTGGGGTCACTTTAATGATCAAAGGAATGTGTAGGGGAAAAAATTTCTTTCTCACAAGAAGAAAAAAGCCATGATTTGTCAAATTTATACGGAAGCATTTCCAGGAAGTGTAGATTAATTAAATTCAAATTTGTTTGATGAGTGCTGTGGCCCATGGGCCTTGCACTTTTACTATCACAATTTCTAAAAGGGAGCAAAATTGAATATTTTAAGTTTTTTAAAGCATTTTTTTCATTTTTCAGGGAGTTACTTATAAATGGAAAGTTACCAAAAGAATTCCTTTTGATCTCATCTAAGTGGAAGTGAAGATAGATGAATAAATAAAGCATGGAATTTACCAAGACTTACTCGTGCCTTTCTAAACCCAGATTTACTTGACAATCTTCTGAGATCTTCAACAAATCCGTCCAATCCGTCTAGTAGTGGAAAGACGTGGTTTTTTCTCATGTATCCGACTTATGGATATGATCCTTGGATAAGATTTTTGCTTTTACGTTTACAAATTTTCAGGCCATTGTACATCCTTTAAAGAAACTCATGACAAAATTTATTCTATTTCTGAGCTTATCTACCATAACTTTTACACATCAAAAAGAGATCTAGAGAGATGTATCAATCATCCGTCCAGTTTTGATTGAACTTTTACTTTGATATACATGTATGTGTTGTTATTTTCAGAGTAATTTTCTGGTCAAATGCTCAGATATTTTCTCACTATACATGTATTTACATCAAACAGTTTCCAGCAATTATCTTGGAAACTTTCATCACCACCCCCCCTTTATTTCTTTTGTAAATAGTTGACCCCTTTGCAAATTATATAATGACACAGTAGCTAGGTCACTTAGTTGCACCAAATTAGATGTTTGTTTTAGCCAATATCCAAAAAATAATGTTTTTTGGCAATCTTCAGACTTTATTCACAGACTGTTATAACAATCCAAGAATACCACTATTGATTATAAAACGAAAGGTCAGCACAATTGCTCTTACATGTATATTCCTCATCAATTATTATCACGTACCTCTCAAAATTTTGGGTAACCTTTCCTGAATTATACCAGTAATCATCAGACATCATGAAGGAGGTTATAGCCATGTTAGGTAGCCCAAGGGCTTGTAGATTTGATATCTTACCAACCATATTCATTTCCTAAAGAATTTTTTTAGATTGCTATTTATTATATATATCTAAAGTGAATATTCAAGTACATGTACAATCAATTAACATATGACATTGCATTAAGCTGATATCTGTGAGCTACCCAGTATGTCATGTCTTGACTTACTTGAATCCTCAAAAAAGAAATTTAAACTTTTTCAATATTTTTTCTCATCAGTTAAAGTTATGAATTCATATGAGATATTTTTGCAAATGTGAATATAAAATTTTTGTTTGAAGAAAGGGTAAAACTTACATATAGATGTAAGATATTGTCAATATTTTGTTAAGTACTTGGTTTTCATATGCATGTATGTCAGTTTTTATTTACTATAAACATGGATACAGTGTATTTACAAACATGTTGTTCATTTTGTGAATAACCCCTAGCATATACATGTATTATGTAGGGGGGGGTTCTTCTGCAATACCTATAAAAAATATCTTATAACTTTTATTTACTTGGTGTAAATTTCCTCTTGCTAACAATGTCTATTTTTACAGTACATAAGTATGAATGTTTTCTCTGTGTGTCATACATAGAATCATGATTTCTTTTTTCTTTTTAAAAGTTTTTTGATATTCTATAATGATATTTATAAACTTTTGTATTTGATAAAATTGGGGACATTTTAGCTGGACATAGTTAAGCATTACAACTAGTAAGTAATTTATTAATAAGTGTTATAAGAAATGGTTGTGTTCAGTTGTTGTCAACTATTTAATTGTTATTAATGCTACTGTATTAAGAGAAGAAAACATGAACAATGAAACTTGTATTATTTTATACCATAAACAAACATGATAACTTCGAGTAAGATAATGTAAAATCTTGCATTTGGAGATGGTATCACGCAAAATACCTATGTACTTGTAATAATGGAACACATACTGGAAGCTCATGATTGCCCAAAGATAAATTAACCTAAAGAATATGTGGATTTATCTTGAGTTCAAGATCTGTGGGGATAATTTGTTGTGTAAACACCCTCACTCAGTGGGGATAATTCATTTTGTGAGCTCCCTCCCTCAGTGGGGATAATTCATTTTGTGAGCTCTCTAACTAAGTGGGGATAATTCATTTTGTGAGCTCTCTCACTAAGTGGGGATAATTCATTTTGTGAGCTTTCTCCCTCAGTGGGGATATTTCATTTTGTGAGCTCCCTCACTCATTGGGGATAATTCATTTAGTGAGCCCCCTCCCTCAGTGGGGATAATTCATTTTGTGAGCTCTTTAACTTAGTGAGGATAATTCATTTTGTGAGCTCTCACTCAGTGGGGATAATTCATTTTGTGAGCTCCCTCACTCATTGGGGATATTTCATTTTGTGAGCTCCCTCACTCATTGGGGATAATTCATTTTGTGAGCTCCCTCACTCATTGGGGATAATTCATTTTGTGAGCTCCATCCCTCAATGGGGATAATTCATTTTGTGAGCTCCCTCACTCAGTGGGGATAATTCATTTTGCGAGTTCCCTCACTCAGTGGGGATAATTCATTTTGTGAGCTCCCTCACTCAGTGGGGATAATTTATTTTGTGAGCTCTCTAACTTAGTAGGGATATTTCATTTTGTGAGCTCCCTCACTCATTGAGGATAATTCATTTTGTGAGCTCCCTCCCTCAGTGGGGATAATTCATTTTGTGAGCTCTCACTCAGTGGGGATAATTCATTTTGTGAGCTCTCTAACATAGTGAGGATAATTCATTTAGTGAGTTCCCTCACTCAGTGGGGATAATTCATTTTGTGAGCTCCCACACTCAGTGAGGATAATTCATTTTGTGAGCTCCCTCACTCAGTGGGGATAATTGATTTTGTAAACTCTCTAACTTAGTGAGGATAATTTATTTTGTGAACTCCCTAACTCAGTGGGGTATTTCATTTTGTGAACCCCCTCACTCAGTGGGGATGATTTATTATGTAAGCTCTCTTACTCAGTGGGGATAGTTCATTTTTTGATCTCCCTCTCTCAGTGGGGATAATTCATTTCTTGAGCTCTCTCACTCAGTGGGGATAATTCATTTTGTGAGCTCCCTCACTCAGTGGGGATAATTCATTTTGTGAGCTCTCTAACTTAGTGAGGATAATTCATTTTGTGAGCTCCCTTCTTAGTGGGGATAATTCATTTTGTGAGCTCCCTCACTCATTGGGGATATTTCATTTTGTGAGCTCCCTCAGTCAGTGGGGATAATTCATTTTGTGACCTCCCTCACTCATTGGGGATAATTCATTTTGTGAGCTCCCTCCATCAGTGGGGATATTTCATTTTGTGAGCTCCCTCACTCAGTGGGGATAATTCATTTTGTGAGCTCCCTCACTCAATGGGGATAATTCATTTTGTGAGCTCTCTCACTCAGTGGGGATAATTCATTTTGTGAGCTCTCTCACTCAGTGGGGATAATTCATTTTGTAAGCTCTCTCACTCAGTGGGGATAATTCATTTTGTGAGCTCCCTCACTCAGTAGGGATAATTCATTTTGTGAGCTCCCTCACTCAGTGGGGATAATTCATTTTGTGAGCTCCCTAACTCAGTGGGGATAATTCATTTTGTGAGCTCTCTCACTCAGGGGGGATAATTCATTTTGTGAGCTCCCTCATTCAGTGGGGATAATTCATTTTGTGAGCTCCCTCACTCAGTGAGGATAATTCATTTTGTGAGCTCCCTCCCTCAGTGGGGATAATTCATTTTGTGAGTTCGCACACTCAGTTGGGATAATTCATTTTGTGAGCTCCCTCACTCAGTGGGGATAATTCATTTTGTGAGCTCTCTCACTCAGTGGGGATAATTCATTTCTTGAGCTCCCTAACTCAGGGGGGATAATTCATTTTGTGAGCTCCCTCACTCAGTGGGGATAATTCATTTTGTGAGCTCCCTCACTCATTGGGGATAATTCATTTTGTGAGCTCCCTCACTCATTGGGGATAATTCATTTTGTGAGCTCCCTCATTCAGTGGGGATAATTCATTTTGTGAGCTCCCTCACTCAGTGGGGATAATTCATTTTGTGATCTCCCTCACTCAGTTGGGATAATTTGTTTTGTGTGCTCTCTAACATAGTGAGGATAATTTATTTGGTGTGCTCTCTAACTTAGTGAGGATAATTTATTTTGTGTGCTCTCTAACTTAGGATAATTTATTTTGTTTGCTCTCTAACTTAGTGAGGATAATTTATTTTGTGTGCTCTCTAACTTAGTGAGGATAATTTATTTTGTGTGCTTTTTAACTTAGTGAGGATAATTTATTTTGTGAGCTCTCTAACTTAGTGAGGATAATTCATTTTGTGAGCTGCCTCACTTAGTGTTGATAATTCATTTTTTGAACTCCCTAACTCAGTGGGGATATTTCATTTTGTGAGCTCTCTCACTTAGTGAGGATAATTCATTTTGTGAGCTCTCTCACTCAGTTAGGATAATTTATTTTGTACGTGAGCAAGATACTCACTCATTGGGAATAATCATTTTGTGAGCTCCCTCAGTCACTCAGTGGGGATAATTCATTTTGTGAGCTCCCTCACTGAGTGAGTTTCTCTGTTTTGTTTATCATTTTTTGGTCATCTATACACCCTCCATCTATCTGCATGAGTTTAGCTCCCCCAGTCCTTTTCAACAGAATCTCTAAACCTTCATGTTCTTGAAAATCTTCGCTTTGCACCTATTGCTTCTCAATTCTCATCATTAATGATCCAATATAAATTTTATAAAAATGTATGAAAATTGATAAAGATATATTTCATTTTTTTTCTTTATAATCTACTAGTTTTATACACAATCATAAGTACACTAAAAATTCAAAGATTAGTGGAAAGGTCACCTACATTAAAACAAAATAATATAGGAAGCAGTTGAATTCTCACTAAAAAATGCATTGATGCATAAGCTAATGCATGTACTTAAAACTATGTAGAATAAAGATATAAATACAAATATAGGAAAAGGGAGGCAAGGTCAAAATATTTTGATGAAGTTTGATAGCACTCACCAAAATGTATCGACAAATGAAGTTTGATAAAGATACCTTGAAAATAAATCTTTAAAAAATATATATCTTGATTTGTTTTATAAAATGATCTTAATCCAAATTTAAGAAATGTGAGGTCAAAGGAAAGGTCAAGGAAAAAAATATTGATGCAGTTGAATAATTCTCACCAATATTTAATAGCAATTATTGTGAAATAAAATATTATCTTCATCAGTTCTTTAAAGCTGAGGTAAACACATTTTATAAAAGGTAAGGTCATTGTCAAAAGAAAGGTCAAGGTTAAAAATTGTTGATTTATAGCTCTCATTTATATATACTAGCATTATAAATTTTCAGTAAAAGAGACTATTTTTTTAAAACTGGACTAAATGGAAAAATAAGGACAGAGGGATGGAAGAAGCACATGGCAAACACATCTACCTATATCTTCATGGTGGGACATAAAGAATGACTGAGAATTTCTGTATTCATGGATCCTAGTGGGTAAGTAGCTGCAGAACTGTAGCTCTCTGCCTGAGAAAAATCAGACAGATCTCAATCTGCTTTTTCTGCCCAAATTTTCTCAAGCAGAGAGGTGCAGTTCTGCAGGTAGTGCATGAGTATACCTTGATTCACAATGAATTTCATCAGTGCTGTAAATATTTACTTTTTTCCTACCAATGTCAGATGAGACCTACCGGTATCTTTGAAAATGATTGAATGAATCCAGAGGTATGTTCAAAAGAGCCAGCGTTCGCGAACATTTCTGTTGGAGGTCTAAGGAATTTCGATGAGCTCTCACGAATATTCACTTTGCTGAACAGACCACTGGAGTACCAAAGATGAACTAAATGTCAAGAGGGAACAGAAAGGGTGACAAACTTGTCCTCTGTAGACTTCTGGCCCCAAGATCATGAAACAGACTTAGACTTAAGTCATTGAGTTAATCTCTATATAAAGTTGCATGCAGATATATCACGTATTTTAGAAAACAATTTGGGAGACATAATTTGATTTCGGGGTGCATTTACATTTACAAGATTTAAATACAACACAAAGATTTTTACAAAGATGTTTCATGATCCCCGGGTCTGAAGGTTTTGATTCATTAGAGCTGCTGTTCAGTTAAAACAGCAGCTGCAAATTTGCCAACCAAAGAACTTTAGAAGAGTTAATTTGAATCATTCAGTCATTTTTTAAAAGCTAGATTACATCAAACATCAACAGGAAAATGTAGATACTGATTAAAACAGGCACGTAGCATCGATTTTGAAAGGGGGGGCAGCCACAGAATTTTTTTTTGTACTTACCTTATTGCCGAAAGTCGAAAATCCTATTTGGGGGGGGGGGGTAGAGGCAAACTTTTTTCACTACCAATTCCTTCCAATATCCATTTTTTAAGCTTACAATACTATATTTCCTTCATAATACTTTACTTTAGTTTAAAGTGGGGGGGTGCAACCAATGAACATTTTCAATAGTAAAAGTATTGTTGGCAAAAAAAGTGGGGAGGGGGGCAGCCCTCCCCCTGTTGCTACGTCCCTGTAAAATTATGTATGAATCAATTACCCCTAAAATGCAAGATGAGAAGTTGTGTCATGTTGCCGTGCGTTCAGTTTTTATACGGAGAAAATTACAATAACTTTTTTTAAAACTGCAGAATTCGTTATTTTAATTTTTATTGGAATTAGTGTCATACAATACACAAAATACACCATCCAGAAACTGAGTGCCGATGTAAGTAGTCACCATATGTTCCTGAAGACGACAAGTTAATATAAATTTCATTAGATAGAATGTTCTATCGTTAAAATGATATTGTCCTACGGACCCGGTTTAACGATAGAATTCGTTCCGTGTATTCGTAATGTAGCAGAAAGAAACACGGGCGATAACTCGCATAGTGCATTTACTAGGAACAATCTAGAGAGTTCCGAATGTAAACATGGCTGCCATTTGAATCGAGAGAAAAACGTTGAGAAAATTAATTGGATTTTCGTCTTTATATTGGTTATTTTTTGGGATAAAAGGCATAAGCAATCTCAAGAAGGTTTGTTTTGATTATTTTGGTAGTTATTCCCAGTGCAAATCATTTTATATTCTTCAAAATCGTTTCGGTGCGATTCTGCAATTTTTTGCAACATTGCGAGTATATGGGTGGTATTCTAACTGTGGTGAGGGCCTGTACCGAGACACAGTTAGATTATTCTAACTAAAATTTCATATTCTGACTCAGGTTGGCAATGTTGCCGATAGGCCGCATTATGCATACTCATTATAAAATAAATAAAAATTTTAAAATATCTGTGAATTATATCGTTAGAATATAATAAGAAAAGAAACCGTTCAAGTGGAACTATTAAATAAACAGTGTGTCTGTCATTCTCTTAAATTTTAACAGTACATGTACTCAGGGACCTATTTAGTATATAGGTCCCTGATGTACTACATGTACTGTGACTTTACAGTCGGGCTCGGTTCGTAATAATGATCCCAAACCTAAAGTTACAGTCATGTTTATAATTGCCAAAAATTATTTCAAGTATAAAAATATTAGAATTTGAAGGAAAAAAAATAGATGATATAAACTAACATACATTTGGTTGTGTTTTTTTTCTCAGAGAATTATATGGATACTTTTTCGTTAATTAGTATCACCTTTATTGCGCAAGGGGTGCGTCGATTTACCCAAAAGGACCCAAAAGGAACTCAAAAGGACCCAAAAGGACCCAAAAGGAACCCAAAAGGACCCAAAAGGAACCCAAAAGGACCCAAAAGGAAATCAAAAGGACTCAAATAAATATATTAATATACATTGAAAATTAATAATTTGAATTAAATTATGAATATTATATTATAAATTTACCTAAAAGTTGGCAAAAAATTAACATTTATATTGTTGCAACTTTTCTTAAAGAAATAACATACGACTTTTATTACACATCAAACACTAAATCTGGTCAGATATGCTTTGATTTCTTTACGCTGAAATTAACAAAGTACACTGTATTATTCTATTTCACCTTTGTTTTACCATATCTTACTATATGATATTTAATAATTATATATAAAGAAATAAAGTTTTATGACATGTTCTACATGTAGGCATATGGTATCGGGGATGGATGTGTGTATGTGGGGGGGGGGGGGCTCCCAACCCCACCCCAAACACACACTTTACCCTCAAAAAACTAGTTTAAGTTTTTAATAAAATATGAAAGTATTTATTATATATCCATTTATTCTGTTTATTTCAGGTCCTTTTGGGTCGTTCTTAATTTCCTTTTGGGTCCTTTTGGGTTCCTTTTGGGTCCTTTTGGGTTCCTTTTGGGTCCTTTTGGGTCCTTTTGGGTCCTTTTGGGTAAATCGACGCACCGTTGCGCAATTTTACAGGACAACAAACGTAAACATCCTGTGATCCGAAGGAAAAACAAGGAAATCCTTGCATGCTGTCATACGGGCAAATATACTTGTTTCAGGTAGGGATGGTAGATAAACACACTGATTGAGCTTTAGTTCTTTCTTGTGTAGACTGACCCAGTAAAATAAGAGTACTGAGTAGCTTGGGTTCAGAACTGTACATAGCTCTCCTAAACTAAGACTTGACTTTACCGGTCCCCAGAAAAACGCGCTAAAATGTAGTGTCGCCGAAGGCGACTTCAGTATATATGAGATCGCGTGAGCGATCGAAAAAAATTTTAAATACGAGGTTTTTTGGCCTTTTGACCCCAAAATTGAATTCTACGGTTAAAAGTTTAGTTTAAAACTTTGTTTTTAAACAAAGTTTTTAACCTCGTTCTCTGAAAAAAATTAATAAATAGTTGTTTATTCATGGAAAAAATCGACAAAGAATGATTCTGAACGAAGCGCGTGCGGCGCATGCTTAATGTCATTTCTTTCGGACTTAGCCAATCTTCCATGTAAACAAACGAAGGAAATGCCTATGAATCTGAATTATGATCTTGGAAAAATTACAGAAACAACTGAATTTCTTAACTTAACTAAAAGAACGATTCACTAACCCTGATCCATCGTATGGTATGCAAGGACTAAAACTAACCCTAATCAGTTGAATAATGTACGAGGACTAACCCTAATTTCTCGGATGAACGCGAGACTAAACCTAATCAGTCGAATACTAGTGCAAGGACTAACCCTAATCTCTCAGGTGGGTGCAAGACTAACCCTAATGAGTCGAATAGTGTGCAAATTTAACCCATTTCAGTTGAGTGACGTAGTTGTTACGTCATAGTCCAATGAGCGCGAGGATCTTGCGGATCTGGGGACCGGTAAAGTAAAGTCTACCCGGAATATGAATTATGTATTTACCCTACACCTGTAAACTGTTACTTGTATCAGTGTACTACATCAATAAGCATAGAAAACTCTTGTTTAGTCCATCTGAGCTCAAGTGAGCTTTTTTTTAAATAGGTACATACATGTGTACATAATATTTATCTAAAACTTTAATTGTAAAATTTAATCATTTTAATGTCAATTAAACTCAAAAAGTTTTTTTTTTAAGTTTAGTTTAGAATATTGTGTTAGCTCAGTTTCAGTGATATTTCAATGATGGATTTTCAAAACATAGTAATTGCTAATTACTTTTATTTTTATGTTGAAAATGATTATTCTTCATTTGTACACTTTACATATACTACAGTGCTCTTGACATGGCTACAAGCAATTCCAACACCATAAAGCAATGGGCAACTGTTGTAGATGCTTACTCATCTCAGTATAATTCAACAGGGTGAGTAAATTCTATCAATTAATTTAGAAGCAATTAACCAATATAAATCAGGCTTTAACATACCTAACTGTCAGCCTGTTACGAACACCATATAACATTAATGAAGTCAGTAACTTTCATGTGGGCTTAGACAACTAGGTTGAAATATTTTGCACTACTCTATGGACTATTTTTGGTATATTCTTTTTTTTTTGGTACAGCTGGTCAGCTAACCAAATACTAGGATGTCCTAAAGTTTATCCAGACTATGGAGACAAGGAAGGTTCCTGGGCAAGCAAAGACTTTGGTATCCAATATGTAGAGGTAAAATTAGATTTCAGACATGCCTATATTTTTAATTTTATTTAATATAGGGAATTTTTAAAAATCAGAAATGACTGCAAATATTTTAAATGATTGTGTGTGTATGTTTATATATCCAATTGAATGGACTAGATTTATATTTGTTGTATGTGTAAGGTGTGTCAGAAGAAGGGAGTCAAGGGATACTTGTTACCTGCTATTTATATTCACTTGTCAGAGTAACATATACCTGTTATGATATATTAACAGCTAATAAGTTTTCTTAGTTTGATAGTCACCCCCTGGCGCAATGGTTAGAGCATTTGCTCTATAATAATGAAATAAGGAGTTAATCCATATACAATTCGAATTCCACTGTGGGAGGATGTTTTAGAAGTATATATTGTCCATTTTATTGATAATCAATAGTTGTTAATGTTAATAGGTCCATTTTGCTTTGAAACATTATACAATGTAGTGATATACTGGAACTTGTTTTACAGATTCATCAATATTTACTGTGCCCCCCTTCAAAGAAGGGATCGGGGCATATTGCTTTGCTCAGCTGTCACTTGGTCAGTCCACCATCAGTTTCCATTCATTTTCTTCACTGAGGTTAAACATATTGAAATGAAATTGGTACATGTACGCAGATTTTTTACAAGAATGTCTAGGTCAAATTCCGTTTTTGGAGACGAACTAGCCATTTTGGACAGAGTTATGCCCCTTGAACTTAGAAAAATCCCAATTATTTGCTGTTTTTGTTCACATTCTTTGCGGGGGTTGCACTTATTGAAATGAAATTAAATCTGTATACAAATTTATCATAAAAAATATCAAGGGCAAGTTCTTTTTGGGGTATGAACGGGCCATTTTTGACAGTGTCATGTCCCTTGGACTTTAAAAAATTCCAATTATTTGGGGATCGAGTTGGGGGAGGGGGCATAAGTGTTTTACAAACATCTCAAGGGCAAGGGCAAGTTCTCTTTGGGGTATGAACGGGCCATTTTTGACAGTGTCATATCCCTTGGACTTTAAAAAATTCCAATTATTTGGGGATCGAGTTGGGGGAGGGGGCATAAGTGTTTTACAAACATCTTTTGTTTATCTCTGTAGTTCTATTTGTTTAATATATTTGTAGATTGGATTCCAAGAAAAAGTAAAACCTTCGTCAATCAACATTTATGAGACATACCATGCAGGCGGAGTGAAAAAAGTCATGGCTAAAAACCCTCAAAATGACTGGGTCGTCTTATATGAAACACAAAGAGTTGAGAAAATTAAAAACAGTCGAATATTTTCACCTCCATTGAAGGTATGATATATACAAAAAATAAATTTAAAAAATTTTAACTGAAGAAATGATAGAGTTACCCGGTACTTAACACCTCTAAGGGGCTTTAACTGCATGACCTAGATATATATTGAAATTAAACATACCTTTATGATTCTTATTTTATTTTTAGAATAACACTTTTGAGACCAACAAGCTCCGGATAGAAATAGACTGTTCTGTAGCTCAGACCTGGGTGGAACTCGATGCTGTGGAATTGTTGGGGTCCAAACGGGGAACAGGTACTCGTGACTGTTTACAGCAGGGAAGGTCTCAAAACTCTCTTTTCCCCAACTTTTGCATGCATTGTCCTAGTGATGAAAATTAATTGCAACTTATACCTGATACAGATAGATAGCATGTCTGTGCAGAAATAGACTATTAGTAGTAGTTGTGCTTTATTTTTTAGGAAATCATATTAATTAAAAAATCAGTCAGAATTTGCCTAAAAAATGAGAAATAACATCCATTCTTTTTTAAATTTATTTTTGATTGTCTATTGGTTTTTAAAACAATCAATTTCTATTTATAATGTAAAGCATCCCCCAGAACAGCAAGCAGTAATTTGAATATCATCCAACAATGGGCATCAGTTGTAGATGCATTTTCATCTCAATATGATACATCAGGGTGAGTATAAATTGTTTTACTGTTGATCGCTCAAACTTAATGACACATTATTTACACAAGATAGTCATTTACTCTTTGTAAGCAAGATAAAATTTCCATAGTTTTGATGAGAATGAAATTTTTATAAGTAAACTATGTCACATTATGATGTGAAAATAAAGATTTTGCCAATAAAAAGTGATTAACAATACTCAAATATAAGAAAAAGACCCCTCTAAAGTACAAACATCATCATTTTCATCAACTTTGTCATCATAAACATAATATCCTTAATTTTAGGAATACTATGGACATAGCTTTTTAGTTCCACTTATTCATTTGGATGACTAAAACTCCATCTATTTTTGTCCATACTTTTTGTGCAGCAGGAGTTCAATTTGAGTTTTTGAACAGTTATAACTTTCAATTTGACTGTGAAGGCCTCTTGTTATTGGATGAATTGTTTCCATTAATAGCTGGGCAGCTAACCAGGTTCTTGGAAATCCAAAGGTATATCCTGAGTATGGAGACATGCAGGGTTCCTGGGCCAGTGCAGACTTCGGCATTCAGTTTGTGGAGGTAAAAAAGGGGAGGCAAAGCAACTCATTCTTTGTTGAAAAAAATTATTCTTTAAATTTATGTTCCAAAATGTCCAATATTATGGCTTAAAATTTAAAACATATATATTATTGCAGATTCATTTTTCAAATTTCTGGTGTTGTACATGTGTGTATTTATTGTAGGTTGGATTTAAAGAAAAAGTAACACCATCCGCAATCAACATTTATGAGACATACCATGCAGGTGGAGTCAAAAGAATCCAGGCCAAGAACCCCCAAAATAGCTGGGTCACCTTATATGAAACAAACAGAGTTGAGATGATAGAAATCAGTCGCATATTTTCTCCCGTGTTAAAGGTATATGTGAATTTTCAGCTAACTTGCATCAATTCAATCTGAAAACAGATTTTTTAGAAGAGTTTAGAAAAAGTCTTTAATATTTTTACAATAAATAAAAAAAAGCTGTTTGAAGGTATATTACCATGTAAATTCATACCAAATTTCGATAGTAAATATAAAAATAAGACTAAATTGTGCATATCAGAAGGTTACAGAGAAAAACCCGCTTTTAAGTTTAAAATGCCAAAATGATTTCCGAACAACCATTATTCTTTAATGAAAGTTTATTCTAACTGTGGTCCCAGGGATAACAACATAATAATGGTTCCTAAGCTTAAATAGAAAATATTTATAATAATCTGTATGATATGTTATCAAAATATATTGTCAAGTTGAGATGCAAGCATCTTCATGTTTTTTTAAGATTAAAGTGTACTCATATTAAGAGCCATTCTCTGTAATGATTTGAAATTTTATATAGGAGCTGTGGCACACATAGTCTCAGAATTTCTCCAAACTCTCTATGATAAAAGTCATTGATACCCTTAACTGAAATCAGGCAAAAATTGGTTGCTATATTTTATAGTTACCATGGCAACATGTCTTAAAGTACGAAAAATGGCATTTTTTAAAATGTTTAGAGCCCCATAGTTAACAATTGCAGCAAAGCAAACAAATGGCAATGACTGTTTCCAAAAGTTGAAGGCCAGATGTCTAAAATGCATGATAAACATGTTTGGTAAATCAACTATTACATACGTTACTATGGTAACAAAGTATTCAAAAGTAAAAAAAAAATATTCATTGAATTTTATAAAGTCATACACGTAAAAATAAAAAGCAATTATAGGATGAAATGTAACCAAATAATAGAAAAAAGAGCCTTGAAACATCTACCAAGAACAAAATATGATATTTCATTTTGGTTGGCAATGGTTGCCACGGTTTTTATACCACAGAGAGCCTTCAAAGTAACACTCTGTATGTTTAAATCTGATCCTATCTTTTAAAAAAGCACATTTCCTCATAACTTATGATCAATTTTTAAAGATATTGGTGTGCTCCTAGTTTTCCCATTTGAAAAAATTCAGATTAGATTCTTTAAATAGAGTGTTGCTATGGAAATAAGCAGAAAATATATGCTTAAAAACCTGAAAAATATTTTCTTTCCTTGGATACATACCCTTAAATGTAGATTCCCTAAATTTTTATGATTGATATTTATCAACAGCTAGCCTGACTTTTAATTTTGACTATCATCCAATCTCTAAGTGGATGCAAGAAGTTGGCACACAGGGTTTAATATTGATATAAAGTTAACAAAATCGAACATTTTCCCTTCTTGGTAACCATAGCAACAGTGTTGTTTTCTATCAAATTTTATCAATATATGATATTCAACTTCAGTTCTAACAGGTAAGTACTATTCAAGCTCAGTCCTTTAATTTTTTTCTTGATTAAATGGCAATTTAATTCTTAATGCAGCGAAAAACAATTCACTTTTAAGCACTGGTACTTTGTTTCCATGGTAACACTGCAAAGTAGCAATTATACCCAATTTTTCTTATGGTTTTGGTGTTGCAAGGTCCTAAGGATGCATATTTGCCAGTCTTGAATTTTCATGTTTTTCCTCAAGACAGTATCATTAACCCAATCTTAGTTACTGGTTTTGCATGGTTACGCTGTGTTACTATAGCAACCATAAAAGTTTTTTATAGAATAATATTGCTTATACTTATATACTGAAGGTCAAACATTTTCATTGTTTTTCTTAAGTCGTTGATTGAGTTTGAGCATGTAACACCTACCATTAGTGAATACGGAGTGTTTTTCAGCATATTTCAGCATTTTAAATGTATTCCAAATGTACCCTTGGTTACCACTTACTTAGAGATATATTATAAACAGTTTCTTTACAGTATAAGTGACATCAAGGTGTCATGCTTTTGTGAGAATGGCTTGTTTGCTTTTTCTAGTTTTTATTAAGCCACAGTCAAGATTTAAAGTGGCTGAAAATCTCCATTTTTCAAACTTTTCCGGCTGTTGCCATAGCAACCGGGACACATAGCTACGAAATTTTGTTTGATATTTGTTTCTGGTGTCAAGTACTAAGCATAGGTGAAGTTTCATCAAAATCGGTGACCATGCGTGGCAACGAAGTTTATTTTATTTATTTATTCAATTTGACAAAAACCACATGTGGCGCAAGTCATACATACAGTAAACAAATATAAAATATATAGTCACATAGATTTTCTTATATTACATGCATCACGTATGAAGTTACAAATATTTCTTGTAGAATTAACATCTGCTGGATTAAGAAGTTTAAGTGGTTACAGAGAATGGCTATTAATTAATCTTAATTATTCAAAGACAATTTGTTGAAAAGCCAAAAGTGTTATGTTATGTTCAACTATTAAAATTGATCAAAATAATGAAAACATACTTGTGTTATTTCCATTTTATTTTTAGAATAACAGTTTTGAGACCAACAAGTTAAGGATAGAAGTAGACTGTTCTCTAGCCCAGAGCTGGGTAGAACTTGATGCTGTGCAGTTGGTGGGGACCAAGCAAGGAACAGGTATATATACAGATTGTTATATACTGGAAACTTATCAGAGATATTGAATATTTCTGTCAAAGAAAATCTCTGATTAAAATATAAAGATTTTGATTTCGACATATTCAACACTGGATCTTAATGAACTTTTCTGACCAAAATAACTCGTCAATAACTTAAATTATGGACAAAAAAATCATCTGACCAAATTAACTCTTCAATAGTCTTACATGTAAGTTACACACAAAAGATTTGTCTTGTGTAGCTAGATGTATCATTGGTATATTATGATAGGTACAAGCAGCTTAACACAGAACCAAACAAGAGAGACCCTATTGAAAACCCTGTGGGTGGCAGAAATCACCAACTACTCTACTCAGTACAACAGCTCAGGGTAAGTTTGAAAAAACTATAAGTACTGTGAGCAATGAGCTCACTAAATGATACCCCCCGCATCCCATATGAATATAATGGCAGTGTCCATGTTTTGCTGTTGGAAACCCAAATTATGTGTCGGATCAAAAAGTGAAATAGGAGGTGCACATTGGCAATATGTAATAAAGTTTCTATGAAAGTTTCATCAAATTTCATTCAGTGGTATGAGAGGAGTTGCGAATAAAATATGGGTATCCCAAAGCATAACAGACAGATGGATGGATGCACAGCTAGACGGACGGACGGACATACCGATTATTATATACCCTCCTGCTTTTCAAGTGGGGGGGGGTATAAAAAACAAGGCTAAGAATTGACAGAGATAAATAGTAATCCTCTTGTTCTTTAATTGAGATATTTATGCACCCATAAAAAAAGATTTGGGGGGCATGTTTTGTTTTTGGTCTGAGTCTGTCTGTTGTCAAAAATCTCTAACCTTAGTCATAACTTTTAAATGGTTAGTGCTAAGGCTTTTATATCTTATATGCATATTCGTTGAAAAGTCTTTAACACTGACCAGGAGCTGCCCTAGGGTAGAATAAGTGTTTAACACATCTTGTCTCTAAAGGTTGAATAATTCTTTTAAGGTCATTTTCTATGTCCAAACTTTTAAGGCATTTTTCATCTATCATCAGTTTTAGAATATCTTATATTTTGTTCCTTCTCCTTGTTTTCTGGACAGATGGTCAGCCAGGATGGTTGTGGGAGAACCCAGAGTGTATCCTACATATGGAGACGTCCCAGGAGCATGGGCCACCTCTACAAAAGACGCCCACCAGTTTATAGAGGTACGTAAAACTTGTCTAATCTGAACACCACTGGTTCCTGTATTAGACAAAATTCCGAATTAAGATGACATTTTAGAATTGAAATCAATGAAAGAGCTTGAAATTTGCATTGTATTAGACAAGGTTTAGGATACACAACATCCAGATTAGCTAAGTTTCACTGTGAATATGGCCTAATAGAATTAATAAGACATTCCTCATTCACTGTATAGAGTCACATCAGCACCACTCATTTACAAAATACATTTAGCATTATAATTTAAACCATCACCTAGTCATTTATATTTTTATAAACAACTATCGGGTAGTTGTTTTGCTTCTCTTACAGGTGAAGTTTGAGGAGAAGTTGTACCTGAATGAAATCAACATATACGAGACTTATCATGCAGGAGGAGTCAAAAGAGTCTCCGCCAAAGACATGGCAGGAAACTGGGTCATGCTGTACCAAACAAATCGCTGCCAGAACTTACAATCCAGTCGAATTTTTTCTCCACAGTTTAATGTAAATACATGTATTTTACATGCCCTAAATTACTGTAGATTCCTTATTTTGTGTGTACTTATTATCGCGAAATGGCTCTTTGACAATAATTTTGGACAGTTGCTCAAAAGATTTTACATTGATTTCAGCATCCTGAAAATAAAAGTGAGTAAGTGGTGCCTCTCACAAAATTATGCGATAATAATCCCTCACATATATCTAGGAATCTACAATGGTTTAAGGGCATCGGAGATGAAAAGGGAGACAATTACTGTAATTTCAATATTATCAAAAAAGATTCTTAGATTCTTATCTGATATGTCATATTCAAATAAATCTCAATTTGTAAACAATGAATTTTGAGAGTGAAGGGCCGTTAAGTAATATTTTGGAAACAAAATTGCAAGCATAATGGTCTTGCTTGCACATGAAAGATATTCATATTGTTACCTTTTTGACAGTATCTGCTGTCTTTATGAAATGCTGTAAAAAATTTTATGTGGCATTCACTGTTAAAAACTTTTGACTTTGTTATACAGCCCCCCGAATTTCCAGTGGATGAGCTCAGAGTAGAAATTGACTGTACAGTGAGTGGATCCTGGGTGGAACTTGATGCCATTAATATAAAGGGTACATCAATGCCAAGTAAGAAAATTATAGCTCAATCTCTTCTTTTTTAAAACAGTAAAACACGCTAATAATGAACTAACTTGTTAATAATCAATTAATGCTTTCAACAAATTCATTTTCATTTCCCTGACTTTGAAATATATTTATTGAAGTATATTGTGTCCGATCTTAATGGATTTAATGAATTACACTTACAAGAAATTTTAATTTAGTTATGTAAATCTCTGACATTTGTAGCATTCATACATGTTGAATTACTCAATGCACTTTTTTGATAGAGTTACCTTCCCTGGCCTCCTGCTTGTCAACACTGGTCAACAACAAGATGTTCAGTGACGTTGAGATCATCGTGGATGGTCTTTCATTCTATGGACACAAGGCCATAATGGCACAAAGATCATCTTTCTTTAAGTCCGTTTTTGTAGATGGACATATTCCTCCAATTGTAAGAATTTTGACTATATTCAATACCAAGTCCATATAAAACTAAAATTATTTAAATACTGTAAATCAATTATTATTGACAAAACGTCAGTTTGGAATCCAACTGCGATTACTAATGTTGGTGGCTGAGGCAACATTTCACAAAAATATTTACAAAAATAAAATTACCAATTGTAAATGTAATTGATTTCCTCATGAATGTGTTGGCGCGGTTCCAAAAAAAACACGTGTAACAAATGGTTCATGAATCAAAGCATGTAAATATAAGGAATAACTGTCAGATTTTTCGAATTCATGAAGATGATCAATGGATTGGCTTGTGTGACAATTTTATGCATAAACGCCTTCGGCGTTTATGCAAATTATCACACAAGCCAATCCATTGATCACTTCATGAATTCGAAAAATAAGACAGTTATTCCTTAAATACATGTAGATGAACAAATGGTTCATGACAAGAAATATTTCATCGTCGGAACCCAGGGGTTTTCTCTACATTGCACTAAATGTAGTGTAACGGAGAGAAAACCTATGGGTTCCGACAATGGAAATATTGTGAAAAAAGAAGGTTGCAAAACTTAGGGATATTTCTCACTCGCAAAAAAAAATTGGTTTACAGTATTGGAACTAAAACAACTGGAAAATTTTCATACGTTTGTTATTAACTCTCAATCATTGAATATTCTGAGCGTTTATAGTTAGCTCATGAAATAAACAACAGGAAAATCCATTAAAAAAAATAAATAAGATATCTGTAAATGGTCTAACTTAATTTTCATGCTGGCATAACTTTTATTTCAGGCTCCACTGGAGAAGCAAATACACCCCCCAATCAGAGAACCTGTAGTGCCAACAGCCCCACCCATAGATGATGATGCCCTTCCTTCATATGACAGTTTATTTGGTCCCCCAACCCCTAACAGCTCAGCTTTACCCACTTCAGACCAGCTGTATGGGGGAGAGAATTCTGGTCAGATTAGAAGTCTACCCCCTATATATCCCCAAGAAACCAAACCAGCATTTTTTTCTGGAGTAAGTCGCACAAAAAAAAAGAAAATAATTTATTTTTACATGTGTTATCATTCATTCTCACTGGAACATCTTTTAATACATGTATTAGTTGAAAAGAAATTTTATGATTTACATAGTGTGTAATTGTTAGAAACTCAGATTTCTTCTGAAGTAATGTGCTCTAATTCATTTTGTTGCTTGTTCAAAAAAGCTTTTTAAAAAACTTATTAAAAGCCTGTTCTTATTGTAACTAGGTTTACTGCAACCAGTTTTCATAGGCTGTGCCAACTGATTTATTGAGTGATTTATTTGTAGGGTACACTTGTTCTGAACACTGTCACACCAGATATATTTGGGGTCATCCTGCATTTCCTGTATACAGAGGAACTCCCTGATGTTATCTATGTCACCAATCTTCCTGTAGAAGTCAGCGTCATGTGCATTGTCAGAACTGCTCAAGGTGTGAACTTTTTATCAAAAATTACATAATGAAAGTATGTGTCCCTACAATAGTGTAGAGTGTTAATTGAGCTGTAATACGTTTTCAGCGGCCATACAGTTTGGTTTGCCCGGACTGAAAGCCCTGTGTGAGAGGAAGATCCTTTTGGTGAATTCTTTCTCTTCATCTGACGTATTGGAGGCATTTCTAGAGTCCTATCAACAACCAGGACTCGGTAAGAACAATTTACTGTTACTTAAAATACGATCATATGGCTTTCAATCCCTTTTACTGCAAAGAGTTCACTATTTCTACTTGTTACATACACAGGAAAAAATAGTTCTCTTGAATTCTGCACTGCATTAATGGAAAATCTTCATTTTAATTAAGGTGAGTTTGAGCACAGTTTGCTAAGAGGTGATTGACACCCTATATAATTTGACATTGATTTACCTGTTATATTATTTGATAATAACAGTAACAACTACATGTATAAATAAAGAATAATATACTATATACAGGGAAATTTTCGCCCTTGTTTTATTTTTTACTCTTTTGCCCGAAGGGGCGAATTCAAAGAATACAGTATAATTTCTTGAACAAAACTTTGATTAGGCGAATTTAAAATGAGGCAAAGAACTAGATGTGGTATATTGCATATTTTTGCCCCTACAGCTGTATACAGGGAAATTTTTGCCCCCGTTTTATTTTCCCCCCTTTTGCCCTACTCTCATTAGACCAATTTAAAATGGGGCAAATTCAAGGAATACAGTGTAATTTCTTAAGTAAAACTATGACTGGGCAGATTTAAAATGGGGCAAAATTGTCAGCAAGTGTGAAAGGGCGAAAATAACCCTGTATTTTTGCTCAAGATTGTTTGCTTAAATCAAACTGTTGTCTAATCCATGATTGTTAGCAAGGAAGGAATCAAACAATCTCAGCATTTATATGTAAATATTCAAAATTTATTTAGATATGGGGAATATGACAAGGTAAGACTCTTATACGGTCAAATAAAAGGTTGCTTAGATATGGGAGATGTAGAAAGGGGAGAGACTGAGAGTGAAATTTCCCTGTACACATTAATGCTTCAAACTTTTTAAGTGCTTTTATTAAGTTCATAAAGTTGATAAAAGCTTTTTTTTATTGTGCTTAGTTGCAAATAAGTTTAGATATGGGAGATGTAGAAAGGGGAGAGACTGAGAGTGAAATTTCCCTGTACACAGTATACCTCTCTCGGCATGCTTCATAATACTTTTTGCAATGTGCTTTTATTTTTGTATACCTCTTTTAGCATTCTTTTCATGCATATTTGTACCCTTTGTATTTCTAGCCCAGATTTCCCTCTTTGCTTTTTTTTAATTGTGCCTCAACATGACAAAAATAAAATCTTAAAGCCACAAATGAATATTCTCAACATTTTTTTTTCAGAATCCATTAACAAATTTGCCTGGCATTTCATGCAGAGTAACAGGGACAGCATTATAAACCAAACCCGATTTCTGGCTCTTCCAAAAGAGATACAGAGAAGCCTAACCAGTGTCCCAAGGTGCTCTGACCAGAGAATAACCAGTGCACCTAGGTGCTCTGACCAGCGAACAGAGAGCAGTGTACAGGTACAAGTGTCATGCAAGAAGAAAGGCTTCCCCTCAAGATCCTCAGATATTTGTTGTTTGCAGTAATTGAAGAGTGCCAGGGTTATTGTGCCAAATATTGGATTTTCTGTGATTTTTAAATGAGGTTATTCAAGCACCCGATACTTTTAATATGCATTGAAGAATTGAACTGCTTTCTTTAAAAAAAGAAATTATTTTTTATCTATTTACAGTACGTGTATTGATTTAAAATTAATGTATTTATAGAGTCACAAATTAGAGGCAATCATAACTATAGATATCTAACTATTTTACACAAGTACATAATAATCCAAAATGAATTAAATATGACAAAGTGTATAAAGAGTGGACTGGAGTGAAAGAACAAATAATTTATTATGGATGTATGGTATGTTTTATGGGATCTTAGAGTTCACAATTACAATGTGTAGCCTTCATAATCTTATAAAAACCCTGACCGCCGCTCCCAATCTCAAGAAAAAAAAAGATCTCAGCACATTGCAGTTAGCTTTTGTTTCCACACTCCTCATACACTTACACACCCTCCCACACATAATGTATACATAGTTAATTACATATTTATATTTTTGGAACATGTGACCATGATCTACTTTTGATAATACTTAAGGTCATCATAATCAACATTGAGCACATAATAATTTGCGAAAGGCAATGGGTGATTATGTCGTCCATAAAACATGAGCTAAAAATACTGTATGTGTACTGTGGAATTAGGCTGGACTGAGGACATCGGCCTGGATAGCTCAGTGGTTAGAGCACCAGACTAGAAATACAGGGGTCCCGGGTTCGATTCCTGGTCCAGCCATGTGTTTTCTATATATATGAATTTTCAATGTATGTTTACTCATTCCTCCTTTCCATACTACAGTACTAAAAAGTGGTCTTCATATTTTAGCAGTTTTGACTTGGAAAACGATGCGCTAATTAATGAATACTGCTAAAAAATCATTTATATATACAATAAACTGAGCAGACAGGTGTAACGCTTATTCATGATTACACCAACAACTCGGTCCATACTCAGTGTATAATTTTGAATATGCCAAATTATGTACACATGTTTGTTATCTTTAGATTTTTATAAATCTGTATTCTAGTATGTTTACTGTATACAGGGAAATTTTTGCCCCTTTCGCCCTACTTTCAGTTGGGCGAATTTAAAACAAGGCGAATTAAAAGAATACAGTTTAATTTCTTAAATAAACAAAACTATGACAGGTGGAATTTAAAACGGGCCAAAATTGTTTGCAAGTGTGAAAGGACAAAACTAAGACGGGGTGAAAATAACCCTGTATATAGTATATTTTATTTATTGTTCTGGCCTCCTTTAAGCTCATCTGACCCAAATACCTGATCAGCTAATTGTATGGAATTCCCTTCTTTTGTAATTGAAAGGTCTACATGTAAGCTATGATTTTTTTTGTTATGTAATCTTGTTATTTTGTTTTAGGTTAAACCTTAGATTTTATTGGAATTACATGTATTTTATTAAGAAATGCTTTGTGGTTTTACCAGTACTGAGTTAAATTATTTTGCAATACACAAAAATACTCTACATTTTACTCAATTGTTAATATATAATTACTTTTTTAATTAATTAAATGTGTTCTTTTTTCTGATCAAAATTTGTCCGTCGTCTGTCGTTGTTGTTGTCGTCGTAAACTTTTCACATTTTTATCTTCTCCTCAAGAACCACTGGACCAATTTCAACCAAACTTGCTACAAAGTACCCTTGGATAAAGGGGATTCAATTTTGTTAAAATGAAGGGCCACGCCCTCTTCCAAGGAGAGATAATCATGAATTTGTTAAAAATTAATGGCATTTTTAAAAAATCTTCTTCTCAAGAACCACTGGACCAGGAAAGTTGAAACTCATGTGGAATCATCATCAGGTAGTATAGATTTAAGTTTGTTCAATTCATGACCCCCGGGGATAGGGTGGGGCCAAAATGGCCGATCAAAGTTTTACATAGAAATATATAGAAAAAATCTTTAAAAATCTTCTTCTCAAGAACCACTGGGCCAGGAAAAATGAAACTCATGTGGTATCATCCTCAAGTAGTGTAGATTCAAGTTTATTCAAATCATGGCCCCTGGGGGTAGGGTTGGGCCAAAATGGATGATCAAAGTTTTACCTAGAATCGAAATTTATAGGAAAAATCTTTAAAAATCTTCTTCTCAAGATCCATAGGAACAGGAAAGATGAAACTGATCATGTGGAATCATCCTCAGGTTGTGTAGATTCAAGTTTGTTCAAATAATGACCCCTGGGAGTAGGGTGGGGCCAAAATGGCCGACCAAAGTTTTACATAGGAATATATAGGGAAACTTTCTAAAATCTTCTTTTTCAAGTACTTCAAAGCCATGATTAGTAATATTTATATGGAATCATCCTCAGGTGATGTAGATTCTAGTTCGTTCAAATCATGATCCCTTGGGTGTTAAAATTCAAGCCCCCCCCCCCCCCCCCCCCCCCCCCCCAACCTCGGTAAACTTTTAGTTCTGATCTGATGTGTGCTTTTTCCTAGCCAATGTGCTCATGTGAGCGCTGTGGCCCCTGGGCCTCTTGTTCTGTTATACTGTAATTTCGCCTGTTTTCACTGGTTCAGATTTAATGGTTTGAGTATAAGATTTTTCTCTTTTTTAGGGATTTAATTACATGTATGTGGTTGAAGCTCGAAATATTGAGTTATTGTATACTGTAAAATCACATATTTTCAAGGGGTGAAATTTTCGTGGTTTGAAGAAAATTATGTTGGTTCATGGGGATTAGATTTCGTGGTTGAAGAATTGTTCAGTAGTAATATATGTGAAAAAGTGCATTTTGTGGTGGACATAAGTTTGTGGGTCTCTTCATACCTTTAAAACCACGAAAATTAAACCCCCATTAAAATTATTGATTTCACAGTATTTGAAATTTTACATTTCATGGAAGACATGAATTTATGGATCTCTTATTACCCATACCACAAAAACAATAAAAATGAACGCCCCACAATAAATTAATGATTTCACAGTATTGATGTTATGATTTCTTGTACGTGTAATATACATGTATAGCATTTCTTGTTCATATGAAATGTGTTCAAGAAATTTAAAAATATACTTTCTTTTCATTGTTTTTACATTTACTTATATATTTACCTGTTCAGGAACAAACTTTGTATGAATTTGTGGGATTTGACAATCAATATAGTTTTATATGCACAGTTTTACACATGTCTGCAAGTCATTTAACCTTGATACTGCTTTTTTAAAAAGACTTTTCTAAATTTTGATAATATATTGTTTAAGTTTCAAATTAAATTGAAATGGATGTTAATTGTTAAAGCTCTGTGATAATAGTTATTGTTATTTATATACACATTTCTTGTTTGAAAACTAACCAATAAAAGTCTATTAAATTGATACACTTTTTTGTTAGTTGACCGTGAATTAGCAGCAGAGTCTGAAATAAAACATATGGAGATAACGAACAGTATTCAAGATCAAAAATCCATAAAACAATACAAAATAGGAGCAGAGCAAACACAGACCTCCAAAACATCAGAGGTGGGATTGGGTGCCATGGAGGTGTGAGCATCAGCTCAGCATCCCCTAATCAGTTTTGACTTTTTAGCTCACCTGAGTACTAGGTTCAAGTTAACTGTTTAACTCACCTGAACTGAAAGTTCAATTGAGCAAGTGATCACATTTTGTCAGTACCTCTGTCCATGCTTTTCTCATTTTTGACTTGTTTAATCCAGAACCACTGGGGCACAAACTTGCCTTAAAGCATCTTCCAGTAAAAGGGATTAAAGTTTGTTCAAATCTAGCAGAATGTCCTCTTTCAAGGGGAGGTACCTAAATTTCAAGTATGTTCAATTTATGAGCCTCAGTGTAGGGTCTCATTGGGGGATCAAATTTTTAAATAGTCTTAGAAATGTATAAGATAACAAGAGGCCCATGGGTCACATCGCTCACCTGAGCACTTTGGCTAAGAAAAAAGAAATTAGTTTATTATTGAAAAGTTTAAACCCAAAAGTATTCCCAACCATTTCTTAAAGGGGAGAGGGTATGATTTGGACAAACTTGAATCTGCACTACCTGAGGATACTTCCATATAAATATGATCAATCATGCTTTTGCTATTCTGGAGAAGAAGATTTAAAAATATTTTCTATATATTTCTATGTAAAACTTTGATCGGCCATTGTGGCCCCGCCCAACCCCCGGAGGTCACAGGGATTTTCCACCCCACTTTGGGAATGGGGCCCAGGCCCATACCATTGGGAATTTTACGACATTTTACAACTTTTTGGGAAATTTTATAGCAAGATGTATTTCAATAATTAAACACTTATGATAGTTAAAATTGATTTTTTACTTCATTATTCAAAACTTTATAGAAAATGATCTGTTATTATAAAGTTTTAGGTCTCCAAAAATTATGTTCATTTCATTAAGAGTTCAATCCTAACCATGTTTGTTTTACATGAATTTTTCAAAAATTAAACATAGGCTGTTCATTTTTGGGAAAAATGGAATGATTTTGCAATTGGGAATGGGGCCCATATTCGGCCCTACACAGGGCAGTGGAAAATCCCTGGGTCATGATTTGAACAAATTTGAATCTACACTAACTGAAAATGTTTTCCCATAAGTTTCATCTTTCCTGGCACAGTGGTTCTTGAGAAGAAGATTTGTAAAACATGCCACCAAATTTTCACTATTTCTGAATTATCTCCCCTTGAATGAGGGTGTGGCCCTTCATTTGAATAAACTTGAATCCCCTTTATCCAAGGATGCTTTTTGGCAAGTTTGGTTGAAATTGGCCCAGTGGTTCTAGAGAAGAAGTCGAAAATGTGAAAAGTTTACAGACAGACAGACAGCTAGACAGACAGACGCCACACAAAATGTGATCAGAAAAGCTCACTTGAGCCTTCAGCTCAGGTGAGCTAAAAATCTTGAAAATTATTCTTCTCAAAAACAGCTCAGCTATGATAAGTCATTTTGACATAGAAGCATCCTCATATGATTTAGATTCATTTTTTTTTTCTAATCATGAACTCCAGGGCTTGAGTGGGACCACAAGGTTGGATTAACATTTTACATACTTATAGAAGTAAATGAGAAATTCTTTTTAAAAAATCTTTTCAAGAACAGCAAACCCCTGAATAGTCATACTGGTACATGTATTGATATGGAAGCATCGTTAGGTAGTGTAATTTCAAATTCTTCAGATCATGACCCATAGTGGTCAGGTGAGGCCACAATGAGCAATCAAAGTTTAACTCAGTAATACGTTTGAAAATGGCTTTAAAAATCTTCTTTTCAAGAGTAGTTTCATGGTAAGTTATATTTAAATGGAAACATCCTTGAGTAGTGTATACTTGCATTTGTTCAAATCAGAGCCTCAAGTTGTAAAAAGTTGATAAGAAAAATATTGAACTACAAGTTGACAACATTTATGTCACAGATTTTATTTTAAGAAAGTTACCCTGAACAAAATAGTGTATAACTGGTCACTAAAAGTTTAAATACAGTTATACCTGGGCTTGTATGAGTCAGTTGTATATTATACTGTAGATGTACTTTTTTCCACAAGGTATGAATTTATGCATTATACATGTGTATGTATATCCACATAGTTTACCCATAAACTTGTCTCAGTGTTTTTAGATCTTTAATATTCTAGATGTAACATTGGCAACAAAACTTAGTAATTCTTCACCTGCAGGATAAAAATGTGATTTCCTGGAATAATGACCCCGTGGAAAAAAAGTATATTACCAGTACAATAATCCATGAGTAAAATTGAGAAATACATGTAGTTATAAGAAATAAAAATCTTTTAAAAGTTGGATAAGTAAAATACACAAACAATGTAAATAAATAAATGACATATGTATCACAGATATAGCAATAAATTTGTTTGGTATAACTGTCCAAGTACAAATTAACAAGTACAAAAGTAAATACCGGTACACAAACTTTAAAAAAAGACAATTCATGATTGTTTTCTTGCAAAAAATAATTTTTTTAAAAATCCAGATCACTACCCAGTTATTGAAATATTTTTAGACTTAGTTGCAACCACATAAATGACAATACATTTCTTTTAAAATCCTATTAAAAATTCAGGAATTTGAGAATTGAAAGCTTCACAAACATTTGATTCTCCATGATCAGAAAAATTGCTTGTCAGTCAGTAGTGTTCTACTAATGTTCACACACAGTGCACTGTGTAAAATTCAATAAATGCTGTTCATAAACATTAACATGTATATACTTGCAAAAACAAACAAAAAAGGTAACAAATGTTTCATATTCATAAAGCACTATTTTTCAGATTGTTTTCAAGCCTGTAAAGAGCTTACAAAAGAATTGGCTCATTGTTATCACATACCAGTACCCTGTTAAAATGTAAAATATCTTTTCAGATTCTTTACACAATATATTGTATGATTGATAACATTTCAGATAAGGTTTTCTGTGTAAGAAAAGGAATTAAAATCAAAACTAACAATGTGTTATCCCCTAAATTCCATAACACAGCAACATCACATCAGTGATAAAAATATATAATATCAAATGAAAATATCAAAACAATGCCATTTAAAATAATCTCTAACAATATCCTACCGGTATCTATGTGATTAGAGGTACATGTACTGCATCATTTTTACAGTTTATAGATTAACGAGTTGAAAAAAAAATATATAATAATAAGTAAAAAAAATTCATATGATTTAAATTATCTATTTATAAACTACCACATGTACTTCATGGAAATTAACTTATATTTGTACATAATTACACAGAGTACCGGTATATATGAGGCAATTTTCAATGAAAATAGCTTAGTACATGTACATACATTTACATTACCATCTTAACCCATACCTGTGCATTTATAAATTATAGTGTGAATCTTATTTTCCCAGGCTATCTTTCCTTGTTTTCCTGAGTCATGTGACCTAATAAAATGGCTGTCTCCTTTATTTGGAATCAGAAATGGACATCTTCTCTGTCATGTGTTGGATTATTTCCACCATTACATCTTTAGGTAAAGATGTGAAGTTTGGCTGTCGGACAACCTCATCCATTTTTGACCTCATAAATCCCATGGCTGCTGTCATCAAGTCCTCTGTAGAGAAAATATCAATTTTAAATTGCTTTTAATACTTAAGCAACATTTTGAGGTAATATGCATCAAAGATTTTCCATGGTAAACACTGTTGATGTACCGGTACATTCTTCCAAAGAAATCTTTTTTAAAAAAATGGAGTTCAACTTTTGGAATGTTTGTTACATATCATGGGGAGTAGAAACCTAGTTAATTGTTACCTGAGTACAATATTTGTTACCTATCATTAGGAGTAAAAACATGTTTACCTGTGAAGTTGCTTGAGTACAATGAGAGTAGTAACCTAGTTACCTTGAAAGTTACCTGAGTACAATATTTGTTACCTATCAATGGGAGTTTAGTTGAGGCCTCTACATAGATATCCACCACATTCTCAGTGTTCAGGTTGGAGCAAAGGTTGATGAAGGATATCGACTTCAGGCCATCAAGACAGAACTGGTCAGCCACTACAATGTTAAAGAAAGATATGTCATCAAGTCAGCCAATACAATGTTACACAAAATAAGCCATCAAGACAGAACTGGTCAGCCACTGATAAACAAAAATATTTTAGCCTTCCAGAGTTCTCCACATTTGAAAATTTAACCATGGAGGAAGCTGTGCGAAAGTGAAATGTGACCAAAAACATGAATGCGTGTTAGACTTTCTACTCTTCATTAATCATTTATCCATGGTGCACGTAAATTTAACCATGGCTGGCCGCCATGGTAAAACCCCTTGTGGAGAATGCTGCTTAATCTGAGCCATACAAAAATATTTATTAATATTAATATATTAGATTTCCTGGTGCAATATAAATGAGCTCAATATGCTATTTATATACCGGTAGACACTGTAAATCAGAATACAAAATACTGCCCAAAATGGCTGATTGCAGTCTAAAACAAAGAGTGCAAGATTCTATACCTCTCCATATTTCTAGCAGTAAAAGCCAGTCAGAATTCTGGGCAATCTCATTGGTGTAGATAAAATGAAGAATTATTCCAAAGGCATCAGCACTGACATCCTTTAATTCTATTGGTTCCTGTAATTAAATAAGAAATCAGACTAAATTGCATGTTAGTAGTTTAAATTAGCTCAATTATAAAAGAGGTGTACGCAACATAACTGAGGAAAAGCAGTGACTACCGTATATACTCGCCTATAAGTCGGTTTTTTGGGAGTAAATATCTGGTCCAAAACTCTGTATCCGACTTATAGGCGAGCTATCAAAACAATGGTATTATATGAGGTCAGTCCTTCTGAAATATAAGCTAATTAAATACAACCGACTTATAGGCGGACCGACTTATAGGCGAGTATATACGGTAGACGCCATGCACTACATAAGGGCCTAGTAGTCACTTAATTTATGCGAAATATTTAATTTAATCATTAGATACATAGGTCAGTGGAGTTTGTCCCTAACCATACTATTCTTTTACATGAAAATATTATGTTTCATAGTTTACTTGATCTCTATCCTGTATTCTTAGTTATAAATTGTTCTAGTAATTTACTGTTACACTACAGTTAATTTGATCCTTACATTTGCCCTACTCTCCCTCATTTGATCACAGAACATGGCTCTGAAGAAGTCTGATCTGACGGTCAGTATCGCCTTGTGACCATGGAAAATTCTACCATCCACAGAAAACTGGACATCACTAAAAAGGTCAGAATTGACCAGCTGACCCATATCTTTGGACAACTGTGCTGGTGGTTCTGGTAATTCTATAGTGAAAAGTCCTTGAACACTGTGTATTTGTAATAATCACTTTATAGTAATTTGAATGTTCCTGAAGAGGTATGAAATGCAAAATCAAATGGACAACTTTGCTGTTGGTGGTTAATGTTGTCATCTTCTCTTTTTAATTTTTCATTGTGTAAATAAAAAATGCTTGTTTAAATTTATTCATTTAATTGCAGTTCTCCTTATTTTTCATTTCTTGGATTTATAAATATAGTGCTCTGCATAGTCAGATAGAGAACGTCAGCCTTACCAAAATTAAATTTGGTACCAACCATCTCCACTGCATCAATCTCTACCCACGTTCCAGCTGCAGTGCAGTCAACTTCAATCCTTAATTCATCTACTTGATAGGCAGGTTTCTAGTAAGATAATAATACATGTACCGGGTATAATTAACTAAAGGCTGATGGACCACTACACTTACTAGAGTTCCATCAGCAGATACTTTCCCCTACATACTGTAAACCAACTATTACTTGCATCATCCTTTATTTATAAAATGTCTTGCTGTTTAAAAACAAACAGTGCTAGACAATTAATTTTCAAAAACTGGGCAAAACATTGGTGTAGATAAAATACAAAGCTTGATAAATGGTTCATGGCAATTAATATTTGCGAGTTAAAGTAAGTCGCGAAACTCGCAAGTATTTCTTGCTCACTAGTAAAGGTTGGTTTACAGTATAAGCATTCCTATGACAAAGCCTCTGTTCACTTAATTATTAAACACCCCCTGCATTAGATGCTTTAGTCTATGACTTGTTTAACCAAACTAATCAATTATATGTATTCTGAATTTGACATTTGATATATATCCTGTTCCATAATACCTGATCAATACATAGGGCTTATGACTAGTGTGACAGATCAACAAAGAATGCTTACTCCTCCTAGGCACCTGATCCCACCTCTGGATTTTCTAGGGGTTTGTGTTTTGCCCTCTTCACAGATTTAAAATGTTTATAGAAAATTTTGAGATTGACCAGTGTCTGTTATCTTAACCTTTTACATGTTTAAATAGAATTTCCTTTAACACTGTATATATTTGTGTGAAAACATTTATAATGTACTCAAATGTAGCTGAAGGGGTTTGAAATGCACAATCCTGATAACTTTGTGCTATATATAATGGATCTTTCTCTTTTATTTTTCATTGTGTAAATAAAAAATTTTTGAATTTTGCAATAAAATTTCACATTTCTTTTTTAATTATGTTCCACATATACAAAGGATAAAATCAACAGCCTTACCAAAACAAAGTTAAATCCCCTCAATCTCCAAGTTCCAGATGCAGTGCAGTCAAGTTTCCTTAAAATTAGCTTGATAGGTGGTTTCTGTTAAAATAATAAAATGTGAAAAGGCTGATGAACCACCTCGCTTATTTTAATTACTATGGTCCTACCATACAGTTATGGTAGTTACCAGTACCCACAAAGTTAGTTCTCCTTGTCTATTCTTTAATGTCTCAGTAAAAAAAAAGAATCATTTATCAATAATTTTAATTGATAAATTAAAGGAAAAAAATCTTTTGCACAGAAAGAATTTGGATTGTAAAATGTTGTCATAGAGGCAGTACTTTCATAATATTAAAATATTTTTTCTCTGAGTACAGATATACCTGAATTGGCGGAGAAAAGATCCTGCTTTTCTTCATACATGTAACTTGATTTGTCTGATAAACTGTCTCCCACTTCCCAGAAGGGTTTTTAACTTTGATGCTTTTTGTGCCTCCTGAATGGTAAGTCTCATAAACATTGACTTCAGTCAGATAAACTTTTTCTTGATACTGAACCTGAAAATAAATTTAAAACTATGGCTTAATTGTAAATCTATCAACTGATGGTCACACAGCCTGATGGAAAACATATTTTTCAATAACAGTGAAATCATTTGGAAAAATTGTAAATGGTTACTTTTAACCAAAGGTGAATGCATTAACAGAACCATTAGCATTATTAGAAAGTGGCCTACCTCAACAAACTGGTGGGCATTAATATCCTTGCTTGCCCAGGCTCCGTGCAGATCTCCATGTTGTGGGTACACTCTGGGAGGTCCAATCACTGTATTGGCTGACCAACTGTTTGTAAGCCAAATTCATTGTTAGAAATATTGCAATGAATGTTTTTTGATGATTTGCACATGTATATATTTTATGCGTGAAATTACATATCTGTCTGAATTTGGAGTGATTTGGGTGTGAATACAGAATAAAATGTCAAATAAATTTAATGATGTTACATGTATTTATCCTAAAAGCATTTTAGAGATTTTGTTTAATACAATTTAATGTACTATATTTAAAGAAATAAACACCCTGGAAGCACCACACCCATTCAATCTGGGGGAAAGTGTACTCCTACTAAACCTGCACATCCCTCCCCAATTTCTTGAAACCCTAGTGAATGCAATAATGCTGATAAACTCACCTACTAGAATTGTATTGTGATGAAAAGTTTTTAACTTTTGCTACAAACTGTCGAACCTTGTTGATATCTTCACTACACTGGGCCATGTTGACTGGCTGAGATTTGCTGGAAATTTCACCAAAAAATTTCAACAATTATAAAACTAATGTATCAATCATCCAAAATGAAAGATTGATTCAGAAGATCTTTTTTAATACTGTGCAGTTTTTGAGGAATGCTTTTAATTATTTTATAGCTTATTTATATGTGACTATGGTCAGCCAAAAAGCAACATTTTGATGAATTTTTATTTTTTAATTAGCATTTAAACTTAACATTCATAGTTGACTTGATAATACTTTCATGCCAATAATCTATGTAATTTTAGTGCCATGTTGATAATATGAACCATGTCAAACGATTTTGATGTAACTTTTTATCCATTTTTGGGACAGTTTGTTTATGTATACAAACGTGCATAAATAAATGAACGATGTTTATGGCTTTTAAAATTTATTTAATGTTATAGAAAGATAAAAATGTTAAGCAGTGATGCGTTTATGATTTTATCAAGCTCAATTGTTTATATTTACATATCTACTTTCAATTATAGGGTACTTGAAAACGAAATAAACGTCGTGGTCTTTATAAAAAGTAAAATTTTTTCTTGATTATGCCATTAATCGACATGTAATATGTATATTTTATCCACTGCTCCGATTTTTTTGCTTTAAAAAATGACACGTTTACTCTAATTCGGTTATTGATAAACAGTGCATACAGTTAACCACCAATATATCGATGATCGATATATCCAATAATAAATATCTGTCCCACCTGTTTGTTTACGCGGCAACAAAACTCCCCTCCTCAACGAAAGAGCGCACCAAGGGAGATAATCTCAAAACTTGCGTATTAAGCTACCATAGTTCAACACCTTCAAGCAATGCATTTTCAAAGTTCATCAGAATTTCATTTCTTCTATCATACCAATAACCTTAGATCAGGGCGCACTTTCTTGACATATGTGGTTCATCTTTGTCATTAAAACTTTTCAAAATGATCGAATCACTGACAGTTGTTGTGTACAGAATATATGTTCCAAAACATGGATGGAAATAGACATCTAAACTTAATTTTATACATATATACTTAAAATCCTTTTTATTTGCTACCTATCAATAAGACTTCATGTATCTGTGATCATAGGGATAGTGATCGACAGTATACAAGGCTTTTATGATATAGATTGTAAAGCTTGTGAAGAATTACTTACTTTAATATAATTGCACTGATGAAGGATGTACATAAATAATCATGACAGCAATGTTTGTTTATCTAAAATATTGCGCAACTATTGCAGACAAATTAAATTGATCCTAAAATTATTCGGTAGGAAAAGTATTGGTCAAAATGCTCTTTATTTAAGAAATTCTATAATTTTTATATTCTTAATATAATTTCAGTTTCTTCAAGAATAATTGATTCACCGAAAGTAGTGTAAATCATATCAAATAAGACAGATTACCCAAAGTTGAATTTTGTACAACTTAATTAATTAGCACTCATAAAAAGATTTGGGTAAAATGAGATGCCATCAAGTATAAGGTACAATCGTACATGAGCCTACTACTTGCTTATGTTGTTAACTTGTTATGTATGTATGTAAGCTAAATTGTGTATAATATATACAACTTTTCTTATGTTTTTAGCTAACCTGAGTCGAATTCGTGTGTAAGCTTTCCTGATAACTTTTTTTCGTTACTATCTCTGTTGTCTCAAACTCCTCTAGAACTAGGCCTACTCAGGTACTGGGTCAATTTGAACCAAACTAAGCACCCTTAGGTAAAGAGATAGCTTAAACTTATAGCCTATGAAATATTCATAACAGTTGATTCAGGTATGTCTAAATGATTTGAGAAATTTTTTTTTACCTCTTTACAAATCTTCCCAAGAACAACAAATTCAACTTCAAATTCAAGCCATCATCAGTCACATGTTAAAAATAAACTTTCTCAGGTAGTGTAGATTCAAATTTGTTCAATACAAGACCCTTTTGGGAGTAGGGTAGGAACACACTGGGTTATTAACTTTCAAAAGAATAATTTTTACACAACCAGAAAAAAGAACTATATACAGAGTGCTCTAAACTGTGCAGCCCATACCAAACCATTCTCACAATTTGCTCATGAGCAGCTCACATGGCACCTGATTTCCTCACCTTATGTTATGTGAAGTCTCATGTGCAATTTAACATGCAAATTAGGTGAAATGAATTGTGAGCAGGGTTCTGCACATTAGAATTTTTTGCTCACGTGAGGAATCATTTTGCTCACCTAGAATTTTGCTCACATGAGGCTCATGAGTCTCATGAGACTCATGTGCAACAATTGCTTACCTGAACAAGCAACAATAGAACAAAATTCATATTACAAACATTATATAATTATGTAATTTTAAAATGTGATTCATCAGTTACATTTTAAATACTCTTGAGCAACATGTACATGTAAATAGATGCATGCATAATTATGTTCTGTGAACTTCATTTTTTAAACTTAAAATGAAATAAAAAATTAAATTAAATTATCATAATTATGTACAGCACACATCAATCAAATTAATTATTTTTATTCAATAGTTCCATTTCCAGTAGATTAACATAGAACATCCAATGTAAATGTCCAGTCAACTTTTTTGACTGCACTAGTACTAAATGGATTAAAGTTGTCTTAAAGTTGTCTTGGAGGCTAAGTAGATGTAGATGTTTCTGCCTTTGCCGAATTTATGAGTGGCAGTCATACTTGGGTGTAAAATAAATAATCCAGTGGTCATAAGAATCGTAATCAATTCATCCTGTTCCATTCTTTCTCCTTGCATTTCCTTTAAATGAGTGACAACATCAGAACTCTGTCATGTATGCAAGCTCAGCTAGGGTCCGTGATTAATCTGCAGATCCTTTGATTCCAATTAACTTTCATCTGCAAAAAATTTGAAGTGATAGTTAGTTATATAATATTTTCAAGCTAGGTTCTGTTGGTCATGAAAAGCCAGTCAATAGAAAAATCATATGCATCAATATTTAATTAGCAACTTAAATAATGTAATTCAAGGAATACCACACTGAGGCTGTCAATTGTACACTCTGTCCTAATCTGTTCTTACCATATTTATAGTTCTTAATTATACTGTAATTCCTGATAACATTCTGCATCAAATATATCAAAATAAAGTACGCTGATAATTAACACAAAAACATATTATTTTTTAATTAGTATTATCTGAAATGAGAGGGGGATAATAAATTTCAAAGCACTTACCCTATTCTCAGATCAGCAAATCTTTTCTTCATTGTGGCTGCACCATATGGTAAAATCTAATTGATCTTTAATCATTTCCTCATCCCATGGACATACATTTGTAACTTTTAAAGGCTGGCATCTATTTCAAAATGGTGATGACAGACATGTATTTCCAAAAGCAATATACGAGGGCCGTTCAAAAATTACGCGGACTGTTCTATTAGTTACTCTTACAGACGTCATATAGTTATGAAATTTCAGAGAAATATGTTTCTTAAAGATTCCAATAGATTTTGGGCAAAATTTCTGTATTTTAAAAAAATTTTACTAAAATTATCGGTATGTTGATATCGCTGATGGAGAGGTACGGAGCACGACAAAAAATTTGAAGCAATAGCATGCGGAATCCAAAATTTAACTCATTAATTTTCTAAAATTCGCGATATTTTTCAACAATTTTCTCAAATGTATCTTTAAATTGTTCTTTTATTATGTATTTAGATTTCTGACGTGATATTTGAAGTACTAACAGAAATATAGTGATTTTTCTCTGATGCGATTCCCGTGAAAACGACTGTAAAAATGACGTCTCCTGAAAAGACGGCGCACCACACTTTTGTTAAATTAGGTGTAATGCTCGAAATATCGCCAACATAGATCCAAAATATGCATAATAAAACATGTAGTAAACTAGGGTATTCGTGACATTCGTCCACAAATAGCAAATTGAAATTTTATACCGTTAGACCTCTGTAAAAAGGCTATATGGGAAGACGGGAAGAAGATTATCGACAAAACTTTATCCGGACTGTAAAGAACGTATATATGTGATTGATGAGAGTCATCAATATCACACTATATCTCATAAATACCTGCAGTTTTTGGTTTTAAAACAGAGAGAAAAGAATACTCTTTACTTGTTTAATAGATTTTAAGCTTGACAAGAAATGGTGTTTGGATGTTGAGTAGATAAGGTAACTCAAACTATACAGGTACTCTTGGGAAAATGTTGAAAAAATGAAAGCTCAATCACATATTTTTTACAATGCCTGTGACGTCGAAGATTTTGCTGCTCCGTGACTTAATGATATGTCCTGAAAAATCACTTAAAATTGATACCAATTTACAACAATTTGATATGAAATTTTGAAGACCACATAGGTAAAGATTCTTTTATACTGTGTGTGACATTTTGCCCGATTATTTAGTCAAATATTTTTTCTGTGCAACAAGTCCGCGTAATTTTTGAACGGCCCTCGTATTTCAGATCTTTACTGTATTAATCCATATACTGGTACTTTCAATGTCCCTCACAAACATTTTGTATTGAAATTTTGAACTGGTCTGAGAATTGCACAAATCCTGACTGGCCCTCCTCATTGGATACTGCTGCACTTTAAGTAACAGTGGGGGACACAACAGGTTGTTTAGGAAGAGGAAGGCATTTTCAAATTGATGGGAATATGAAAATTAGAAGCTCAAGAAATTAAGATATTCCTGCCTGGTCCCCAATCATTTGTGATGCTATCAGCAGGAAGTGTTAACACTTAACACATGGTCAATTTGTAATAAAGGCTTGGGAAAGCTTGGACCACATAGAGTGTCAAAGTATTGTATTTCCTCATGTGAGCCTCACGTGAGGAATTGAGACTTGTAATTCTTTGGTTTTGGTTCTACTTGTAATAATGAATTTTGACTATGTACAATTTCCTCACCTCTTGCTCACTTCTTGCTCACGTGAGAAAACTGAACTTAGAAAAATCACTACCAATGCTCTATCTTAAATAAGGTTTTTCTTAGGTGAGCAAATTGAATAGACTTTTGCTCATGAGCATTGAGG